GGCTCGGCTCGGCTCGGTTCGGCGCGTTTATACTTGTCGCGATGGCCGAGCGCAATCGTCGCGGTGGATTTGCGTCGGGTTCAAATAGAAAATGCAAGAAAACGATTAGACTCCAAACTGATGGAGGGGTGACCGGTGAAGGGCGGGAATATTGTAGATTGAGGCTTTTATTTATTCATTGAATTGTAATAAATCGAGGGTACTCTACCTGTATATAAGTAATACGATACACACACATACTTATATGAGATATTTAGAGTTTTATTTGAAAACGTAAGGTATGGTATGGGTCGATACATAGCATAACATTAATTAACTATGCAGCATAAAAATTTGCAACAATGGATGCTTTTCAGTGAAAGACACAGGTGACACAGTGATCATTAAATCTTTGTTATTAGCAAATGTTAAACAAAGAGGAAATGATCACTGTGTGACACTGTCTTTCTTGCTGGAAGGCACTAAAATATTCCTGCAAATAATCTTTGCAAAGTTCATGCAGTATCGCTGAAACATCGCCATGTTGATGTGACATTGTTAGAATGATCTATGTTGAAAGAACAATGTTATCATTTCACACTCAAAAATTTAACTATTATGTAACACCGTGTGTTACATTTATACTGTTGAATGCGAAATTATAACATCAGCTGCGTTCAATAAGCAGCAAGAAAAAGCAGCTTTGCTGTGTGTTGTAAAATTCCTTAATATGATTAATTTATATATTTAGAATTCCAATGAGGAACTGAGGATAATACTAATCATGTTAAAGAATTTTACAACAGTTGCAAAGCTGTATTTTCTGCTAAACGCAGCCATCGATGTTATGTTACTATTAGTTTGTGTCGACTGAATATTTTCGAGAAGAGGGAGATTAAAGATAGCTTTTTATTCTTACATAAATCAAAATCGATAACGATGCAAGCTTATATTGAAATATTAAACATATCATAATCGTATAAATTAAAAAAAAAATTGCAACGTTACACTGATGTATCATATTGTACAACTTCGCGCGATCTTATCTATAAAAATAAATTGGTAACGAAATAATTCGCAAAGACGTCACCGTCGTTCCAAGACCGCGCGCGTCATGACGTTGTTACTGAAGCGATCAATTTTCTTGGATACAGTCGGAAGAACGTAGTCGGCGAAGCGCGACGCGCCGCGCGAAACGTTTCTTGAACCGCGAGGGGGAGGGGGGGGGGGGGTGGACTCACCGCGTTCCGCTGATGCCGCCGCGAGAAGCGGTATAACGCGGCGCGTTGCCACGCGGTGGGACGCTACGGCACAGAGAGACCAGCAAAAACACAACCTTCGTGCTTAAAGCGAGACGAGAGGCACACGCCACGGTGACGGACCCGAGGCGCACCGTTGCACCTGCATCTCTCTGCTGCCCTGGCACTCCTACCTTACTGATCCCAACTGCGGGATACCAAGAATGCAAGCGAAAAAGGAACGTTCCTCCTCTCTTGCTCCCCTGCCCCCCTTTTAGGAAACCCTCTAACTGCAAAAATCGCAGTCTACGACGGTCATCTTGATGTAAAGGTGTTTTATTTCACGCTTCGAATTTCTCGCATGATATATTACTCGGAAACGATAATAAAAAGAAAATATTTTGATATGTTTTCTGAATATTTCTTATTGTTTGAATAGAATTTTGATTTCTTTGAATCTCTCCTGTCATTTAGTGGATAGAACTTTGATTTATTTGAATTTGCGAGAAGGTGCGATATACAATTTTACTTTAAGAGTCTTAGACATCTTAGAAAAAAAAACATCAACATCGATTTTATTTTTGTATATATTTGCAATTTCGTACGTGGCGGCGGAAGAAAATGTTGGTCATAGAAAAAAAAAAGTAGTTATGAACTATTCGATTAGCACGAATAAAATAAAAATAAAAGTCTTAAGTCACAAGGCTAAAAAATACGAAAATAAAGATAGCAAATACTAATTGTATCTCGTCATATGTAAAAAATACAAATAATAAAAAAAACTTAGATTCTAGCAATCGTCAAAATAAAATTCCAAAATAAAATTATTTAACAAAAGAGAATATTGATCTGATTGATATGTGCGAGAAGACCCTATCATATTTCTACACGGAAAGAACGATTACTAAGATAACTAAAAATTTAACTAGATATAGATCTAAAATTAATTTTGTTGAACTATCAAAATAATTATGTAGAACGCTCAAGCTAATTGTTAAAACATCAAAATTTTTTGCAATATTATTCTTGCATGGACGCAAGAGAAGTAGGGAAGGGCGCTTGTCCTCTCTGGCAAAAAAATAAACAATTTATAAAAATCATAAATATACTCATTACCTAATCTGTTACGTGCTATTCTTAAAAAAGTTCATTGAAGATTCTCAATCTCAAAAAGCTAATTGTAATATGTATAAATATTCCAAAAAGTTTGTGTATAGATAAATCCTTGCCTTCCCTAATTGAGATCCTGAGTACGTCCATATTACTCAACTTGAGTTTTCTAATAATTCTTCTGATGGTTTAATAAAATTATTCTTAGATCTACATCCAGCTAAATTTTTAAATGCTTTAACAAAATTGTTCTTTTCGTACATAAAAATAACAGGACATTTCGATCGGGCATCAAGCACTTCTGTCGCATGAAGAACACGAGCAAGAGCTGGAGCTGGAACTGGAGTCGCTATTTTGATTCGAGCTAGAGCTAGAGCTGGAGCTGGAGCTGGTTGTATCGGACCGTGACGACGAACTGGAACTTGAGTCGCTCAGTAACGGTTGATGCAAGTTCTTCTCTATATCGCGCCACTCGGACTCGAACGGCAGCGTCGTTTTCGTCCGTCGCGACGGTGAGGATAATATGCTTGCGTCGCTGTCGCTATCGCTCAACGTTGATATTTTCACTCCCATCGCCGCGCATACCTCATTCGGTTCAGGCAGATTGTAACTGATGGTCCGTATGCCGTACATGTCGCTTACGATCTTCTTGGGTCCTGGCTTTTTCCGACTGCTAGTGACGTACGTTCTTTTTGGCTTGATCAATTGGCATTCAACGTCGATCTTCTTCAAACGCGGTACGCCATACATGACGGGTTCCGTTGGGAAGGAAGATATGTCCGAAGTGTTATCGCTCAACGAGTCCAATATGTGATTAGTCTTCTCCTCCAATATTTGATTAGTCTTCTCCTCGGTATCCTCGAAAAATTCATTCTCGAGAAAATTCATGGCGTACAATGGCGAATCGTTTATGTTGTTGTTCTCGTCATCTATGTATTGGTTCTTTTCCTTGTAACAGTCACTCCCGTCCGTCACATTGGACGAGTCATCATCAGCATCAGGAATCTGGGGAGTGTAGTAATATCGCGCCATGATATCCATGGCATCGATCAACGATTTGTTGCCATCGCGTGCAAAAATTTGTTTCTCTTTCTCATCGTCTGATACTGACATCAATTCCAAATCGTTCGTCGATTCCGCAGTATCGTCCGTGTAATTTACCTACCAAAAAGATTTTCCTTTAGTCGCAAAAAAGAAATTTAATACTGGAAGATAGTGATTATCTACTTACCTTCCGCTTGCAATCATATTTCTATTCCTTCCGCCGTCTACAATCTGGGTCTTTTTTTATTCAGCCTAAGTTTACTGCAACCGTAAAATATAGATGTCAAATGTAAAACAATAAAGAACTTACTCTTACTCATTTAAATAAAATAAAAAAAAAAAAAAAAAAAAAAAAAGATAAAATGAAGGTCTTAAAAGTCGGCACGGTAAATGGTACGCAATTAATTGATACAAACATTTATTTAATAATTCAACTGAAAATACATTGCTTCACAAACCGTACATTTCGACTCCAAATTGAGCTATTCTCACAGTACCACAAATAATATATAATATACAATATATATATAAATAATTAATATATAATTTAGAGACAAAGTAAGGTTTCCTTATTTCTGAGGCCTCCTTTATTTCTGAGAAATTTGAGAGTAGAATTTTGTTTGTGCCAAAAAAGACCCTGATTGCAGACGGAGAGTTAAAAGCACTGAAAATAAGTAATTAATTACTATCTTTCAAATTATCATTAAATTAGCTAATATTAAATTGAAATTTCTGTAAACAAATCGTAAAGATATCAGACTACGCATCCGAGATTAATTTTTCGAGGATTGTGAGTTGAAGATTAGAATTCATTAATCAGGTCATTTTAATATTCATCATTTTAATATTATTGTGAATGTTCATATGTTTGATTAAGGTGTTTATCTCATTCTTGAAGATTGAAAATTAAGCCACTCTTTTTCCAAGAAAACTGGAAAGACTGGCTTTTAATTTTCTCACTCTTTACAATAAGATTCTATTCCAAAGAATTCAGCGAATATATTTTATCGATTGAATAAATTATGTTAATATTTTTTTTAACCTTCATTTGCTCGTTTATTGGCCGTTATTCTTTTTTTATTACATAGCTTAATTCTCATCTCTCTCTCTCTCTCTCTCTCTCAAATATCTAGTTGAAGAGAGATATCGATACGATTTGTTTTTCCAAGTACACATCAGATAGAGAGAAAGAGGGACGCTAAGACAAAAAAATGTATATATAGTTATAGACCATTATTGTCTTTAAAACTGCGAGAAATGCAAGAAATTGTAAAAAGGATATAAGAACACAATTTTATATTCCTCTTCTCAGATCAACTCACCCTTCTAACAGAGACGAATGGGATGTCCATAATATGCGAAACAGGTCTGTACCACGTGTTGCAACCAGTCCGCGTGTTGTGGTAGTACACGCGGTTGGGAAAGCTTTTGGATTGGCATTGAATCCAGCCATAGTTTTCCTCGAACTTGCCGAATTCGTATACACGAGGCGACTGTGAATTCTGCGTACTACTACTGCTACTGCTGTTGTTGTTATCGTAGCCAACGCCACTATCGTAATACGGATAATTCTCCTCGTCGCTGTCGAAATTGGAAATATACATGGCCGAATACATTTTGATCGGCGACACTGTGCGATGAGACGTCGTGAGTCGTGACTGTTGGAGTTGAGACTGTTGAGAGCGAACGCCGGCAGGAATGGGCAAAAAACAAAACACGTCCGGACGAACGCATGCGTTAACCTACTCATACATCAATAATCGACACATTCGACACATCTAGGCTATTGTTCAGATTACCACCCGAGTGCTCCCTAGAGTGCGTTCCATTTCATACATTCAAATGAAGCGCGAGATGGCGATTTACGACTATACCTAATGTGATTCGAATGCTTCCTTTACTCTTAAAATCTCGGAGTTCTAACATTGTGGAAACAAAGATTTAAGGATATGTCACAATTCAAAACATTATCAAAATAACAAAATTTCATTAGTTGTTCCATTATTTCGTCTGAGTAAAAATTTCGTTTGTATAAAAATTGAGCACAAAATTCTTTTATTGATTTAAAAGTTATTTAATTTTTTTTGTTTGCTTTATTTTTAAGAATATATCTGTAAGATCACATTTTAGTACTTATTTGCCAATTTGATGAGGAAAAGTAGCATTATATAAAATAAAATAAAATTTTTATACATACTAATATAAAACGTACTCTACTATAAATATTCGTAAAAATTTATTTTCATTAACTTACTCATTTAAAAGTTATTTATCTAAAACTGCAACAAAACATCATTCTCTTCACAAAGAGCTACTAAAAGCTAAATATAATTAATTTTATATTTTGTATTAGCTGTTAAACTTAATTCCTGCCGTTTTTCGTCTCTAAAATTGATTTGTTTCAAAGGGAAGATGAATGAATACCTTAATCAAAGTAATTTCCTCCATTTTTTACTTTATTACTAATTAATAATACTTTATTAATAATACTTTGATTAAGGTATTTCCCTTCGAAACAAATCAATTTTGGAAACGAAAAACGGTAGGAATTAAGTTTAACACCTAATATTTGGTTTAAGGTGTATTCACGAAAAGACTTTTTGATTAATATTTGTTTCTTTAGTTAATACTTTTAGCTGATATTGTACAAAGTATCCTTAATAGCTACGTGTGTGCTGATCATTACATTCATCTCGCTATGTCTACTTCGCGTTTTTCAAAGTTTTTAAAAATACTACAAAGCTTTTTGTACAATAAGTCCACAAATAGGTCAGCAGGATCGACTGACCGAGAACCGACGGCTAAGTTTTTTTATCCATCTTTTTTTTCCGGACGAAACGTCGGGAGAATAAGTAATGCAATATGATCGGCGTGCATCCCGATGCACGGCTTATTATTCGCGACCGCGCGTGTATAGTTTTTATTATTCGTGACGTATCTCAGAGCGCTCCCGCGATCCCGCCGTGTTCTCGTTTCCGTCTTGTTCCACATCCTCCCTCCTTTTTTTTTTACAATAGTCGCTTTGCTTTTCCCTGAAATTCTTAATCCTGGGTTAGAATATGCAATGAAGACGCACCAGCTGCCACATGGTTATTCGATACACGTTTCGCTGTCCGTCTTTTATCTATAGCGATTTTTAGGCAGTCTAATTATATCTATTCTTATATGGCTGGGTGTGCAAGGAGGGTCAGGGATGCAGTTTCTCCTAAATTTTTAGCAAGGAGAGACAAATTATATGAATTATATTAAAAAATACGATAAAGAGGTCGAAACGTTTGTTAAAATAAACATATTGGAAAATTGTTCATTGGCTCGTAGCCTTTCTAAAATATTTTCTTTTTATTTGGAATTATTTTTACGATAAAAAGTTACAACACTCACTGCTCAATTCGTGGTTCTTTGTAAAAACGCGTTATTTGTAAAAAAATTCGTTAAAGATCCTCGAAAGCAGGTTTTAATATAAATATTTTAATAAGTTTCGCGTAAAGATAAATTTTTGCTTTGTCTTTGACTTTAACTCTGATTCATGTAACGACAATGAAACTGAAAAAATTGAATTATTCTCGGTGTTTGCCGATGCGAAAAGCATTTGTCCCATACTTACCTACCGCATTTGATAGAAAATCCTTGACAATTTTGCATAAGACGCCGCTAAAACTGCTGGAGGTGGAGTTTTATGATTTACTGTTTTGCTTCTCTTATTAACCGTTTACATACATCGATGTTGGAGGTCTTGTGGGAAGATAATAAGAATACCGAGAAAAGTCTTTTCATCGACTTTTCCGTTCGTGACTACTCTTACAAAACATCTTGGAAGTTTTTTTTGCGCGCATTCCTCGTAAATTTAAAATTTAAGAAATTTCTTTCTGTTATAGATTTATGTACAACATAGGGTAAAATTTTCGGTCCATGTCACACAGATCTTTTACAGATACAAAACTTTTTAGTTTATGATTTACTCTTCTTTCTCGGAAACTCGGAAACTTGGTAAAAAATTGGACCGTAGCTAATACCGAAAGGAGCTCTTTTTAGCCTTTCATTTCGTGGCCCTTGCTTCCGGTTGCAATTGCGGTAAACGCGGCGAAGAACGGATTCGCATAAAATGTGAGGAAGCTCATCGAATCGCCGTAAGAACGGCACAAAAAAGTAGGACGAACACAGAATAGACGGTAGCTCTAACGTGAAAGATTCTGTAACTTGAGAATTTATCGAACCTTTGATCGCAGGGCGGGGGAGTTTTCTTTTTACTTGTGGATTCGCTTTGGATCGCGCACGACCGTGCGCGCAATATGAAGTTTCCTCATTCTTCTCTGCTCTTTTAACGAACCGGTGCGGTGATCGTATTGGAGTACCTCCAGTTTTATGACCTCGCCAAGTTTCGAGAACAGTACCTTGATGTCTAAAAATAGACGTAATAAATGACCAGGTAAGATCAACCGATCACTTTGCTCCGTTATGATATGCAATGCGGGCGTCACCGAGGTATGTAGGTGCGACAAAGAAACTTGAAAAGGGAGGATAATCTTGGAACAAAATGGATGAAGAACATGAGAGAAAGTTTCGTTGTAGAACAGATCATCATCGTTAAAATATCTTACGATAAAATATGCTGTTACGTACAAATTACATCTCGCTGTACAATTGAAACAAAAATATATTTAATCATTAAATTGACGCGAAATGTTGATTACCTCTCGTATGTAAATTATTATAAAATGTAAACAATATCATTGCAAAAGTAGTTACAATTGAAACGAAAAAATGTTTAATCATTATAAAAGATAGTACAAGATGTTGATAACTTTTCATTCAAATTGTGTTTTCATAAAAGACAGTATTATTGAAAAATTTATAATATACTCCAACAGAGCGTAAAACTTGCAGCAATATTACACATTGCAGCAACATTGTTGCAATATTGTTACAAGTTCTATGCTGTTGGAGTATATATCGAAGATTAATATATTATAAAAAAATTAAAAATACTCCTTTCATATAGCCTTTAACATTTTATATAATCAGATAGTTGAGTATATTCGCTTCTTATGTTAATAGATACTAATATCGCGAAGATATGCGTTAGATTTCAAGCAATAAGTGTGCACACAAGTTTGTGCTTTCCAATAGTTATCTTCAATGAAGACAACGCGCGCGCGCAATAGACTCCATTTTCGTATTCACGAGCTAAACGCGGCTTATTCTATTCTCCGCGCGTGATAAGGAACAAGTAGGAAATACCGGATACGATAAGAGATATCATCGCCGTAATCTTCGACAACAAATGCGCGCAAAAGTCCTCTCCCCCCGCCCCGCTGTTCCCGCACGAGAGAAGGAAGGTAAGGTTACCACTTCTCCGCGATCGTTCACGCCTGAGTTGTCCCTTCGTCGCGCTATTGCCTCGTCTACGTTCGTGGAATCCGTCGTGAGGAAATGGTAAAAGGAAATGTAAAAGACCGATTCGCGAAGAATTTGTAGTTTAAAGGGATCTGCTGCGCACACGACGCGCGGTCGAGCGAACACGGCGACATAGCGACGACGACCACAACGACGATGAAGACAGAAGGGAGGAAGAGGAGGAAAAACGAAGCGCGAAGAAATGCAAGAGGAAGGAGAAAGATGACGATAACTATCGAAGTGAGGTTCGCGTCGTTCGCGAGCCGGTGGTGACGGTGGCGAACGATGGTGGTGGCGATGGTGGTGGTTTGGACCGTTAGTTGGCCCCGGCGGGAGCGTTGTCCGGGCACACTGCGCGTTACTATTCCCGCCGGCCCCGTCCTCACTCCTCTTCGCCTCTCCGTTTCTCCTCCTTCTTCTCTTTACAACACAACGTGCTCTCTCCCTTTCTCCCTGTCTTTCTCTCTTTCTCTCTTCCTTCTATACCTCTCGGTCAACCTCTCGCCCGCGTTCCCGCGTTCATTCTACCGCGGACTTCCCCGTGCCGGACGACCCTTCCGCACCGCCCGGTTAACCAATATGGCGCGGTGAGCCGCGGTCTCTGCCTTGAGCCTTCCTTCGCCGCGCCGACGAAGAAACGTATTGCAAAAAGGCGCATCGCGAGGAATTCGCGTTTTGCGCACTTGAATCCGAGCTATTCACCGTATTCTTTAATGCTCGATTTTATCTGAAAAATTTCGCTTCTTTGAGGAAGACGTCCAGACTCTCCGTCTGTCTTCCATTGATTCGGATCTATTTGAGCATGATGTAAGAAGACCAGATGAACCAATTTCAGGGCTGCGCAGTAATTCAAAGTGATGGTATTTGTAACCAACCAAGAAATTGGTCTCAAATTTTATAAAATAATATACAGCTACTATTAAAAATTAATCTACTCCACTAATCTGAAATTATTGCGACGTTACACCTGGTATTCTTACATCATGGATTTGAGGAGCGTTCGACACGGAATACATAAAAATCAACAAAATGATTTTATTTCGATTTTTAACGCCAATAAATAGTAACAGTCAAATTCGGTAACATAAAATCATCATTTAGACTTTCTCTTGACTTGATGTGTTCCTTGGACAATGGTATTTTTCTTTTTTTAAACGACTGTTAGTCTGAGAGATTTATATTGGCATTAATAATATATTTTCTGCAGAAGCGCTGTAAAGATTATTTTAATAATCAGTACCTTTCGATATATTTTTGTATACCAATTATAGCCTCTTATTTTTATACAATTATACAGGAAAGATATGTATA